CACTTTGTTAACAGCAGGGCAACTAAACCTCTTTACTCTCTGAGCAGGCCGGGTACAGCACCTGGACTCAGGACTACGAGACACACTCACCTTCTTGGCTTGGTCTCGGACAGCTCCCCTTCTTGCTGTTGGCACTGCTAAGGGAAACCTCATGATCTACAACCATCAAACATCAAGGTAGGAACCTATCTAAGAAGAAAATTTGGTACTTGTGTTTCTTATATGATCTAACTATAGCTATATGATCATGTCATGAAATCATATAATCAAACAAAAATTAGGAATTTTGATTGCTTATGACTTGTGTATACAATCCCAGGCGGATCCCAGTGGTGGGTAAACATAGCCGTAAAATCCAGAGTGGATGCTGGTCATCTGGCAACCTCCTTGCCTTAGGTGGTGAGGATAAGATCCTTACCATCAGCAGTAGTGAGGGAGACACTCTACGCACCTCTCCACTTCGAGGGGAACCTTCCGACATCCAGTTTTCAGAGATGAAGCAGGACGAGAGAGCGATGACAGAGAATACTGTGTGTAGTAAAGCTTTCTGTTGTCATTTCTTTTTTATTTGACTGAGGTTTATATGATTGGTATATATGATTTTTTTAAAAATTATGATTGGATTATATGCCTTTCTGATCATTTAGGCTGTATTTTTTTAAAGATTTTTTCCCTTTGAGATCAAGTCTGTCATGCTGATGGCTTTATTTTTATCCTTTTTTTCAGGTAAGCCTTATTGTGGCAAAAAAGACCCTGTTTTTATACAACCTGAATGACCCAGAAAATCCTATTGAATTAGCCTTCCAGAACAGATATGGCAGTATTGTGGCTTACAAATGGTATGTAGCGCTTTTTGTTATACCATAAAGTTGTTTAAACTTTCATAGTATTGTGTTTTGGTGTAATATTAAATTTGTAAGTTTGCTCTTTTTGTTGTTATCGTATGTTTGATGTTCCAGATTATTAGTAGTGAAAAAAAGTTTGTAAAGAAGCTCCTCTCTCAAAATTTATTTAAAATATTTACTTACAGGTATGGTGATGGGTACATTCTCCTTGGGTTCTCGGGTGGATATTTTGTGGTCATATCCACACACTTGAAGGAGATTGGTCAGGAGCTCTTCCAGGCCAAGAATCACCGTGACGTTCTCACTGACATAGCCATATCCACCACCCTGAGCAAGGCTGCGTCATGTGGAGACAATGTGTAGGCTAAAAGTGGTTTATCATTAGTTTTTAATTTGATGTATTTGGTTTGATATTGATTTTGCTTGATTCGTGGATTTCTCGTTATTATGCCTTTCTCTCTCAGTATCAAGATCCATGAGCTTGCTGACCTGAAGGAGACTTTTTCTGTCATCACGCTGGATGATGAGAGAGGCTTAGAGTGGCTTGAGTGGTCTGATGATGGCCAGTTGTTAGCCGTTGCTACTCCTTCAGGTGCGTGTTATTGCTACTCATACCTTTATGGCAGCTGATACCTTTATACTTTTGCCAACTCACTCTTCTGGATATTGAATATTTTAAAATATTAGTATATGCTTATGGTCTTATTAATCTTTTATATATACTGTTTTCTGTGCAGGAACACTCATATCTGTTTCTGGTTGTTTGCAACAATATGGCTAAGTTCACAAATTTCTTTCTCTTTAGTAATTTAAATTGCATATCACTCCTTCCAGGAAATATTCATGTATATTTGACAAAGTTACCGGTTCTGGGAGGTGCTCATGGAACGAGAGTGGCTTACCTCACCTCTCTCTTGGAAGTTACTGTCGCCAATATTGTGGAAAAGGTGAGTGTGTGCGACTTGCTGACATGCGATGCTGTCATTTGTGTATATATTGTTGATATTGTTATTGTCTAGTGCAATTTTTATTTTCATTATGAACTGTACTGCCTCTATATTATTTTAGGAATATATAGTAACTAACCTCAGTTTGCAAACAACAGTTTATGTCAGATTTAAAAGTGATTATTTAGCTGGTTCATATGTTTTAGATAGTGAAATCTTTTGTTAATGTTATTTTTTAAAACAAACAAATAAAAGCTTAACTGCTCACTATCAAATCTAAACTGATAGCTGAAGATCATTTATAAGTGTAGATGATTATGATGATGATGATGATAATGATGATGATGATGATGATAATGATGATGATGATGATGATGGTGATGATGATGATGGTGATAATGATAATGATAATGATAATAATAATAATAATGATGATGATGATGATGATGATGAGAATGAAAAAGGAGCAGCAAAAGAAAGATGGAGAAATATATGTTTTCTGGTGCTTAACACATTTCCTTTTTACCCATACCAGGAACACCCAGTGACAGTAAGTGTGGATGTGGAACCAAATTTCCTGGGTGTTGGTCCATATCACCTGATGGTGGGCATGAACAATCGAGCTTGGATATATACTCTCGGGGAAGATACCACAATGCTCCTTCGTGACCGGGAGTACCTGGGCACCATAAGCTCTGTCCGAGTGAACACTGATTATGCATCTGTTCTTTACGAGGGCAAGATACAGTTTCATTTGGTAAGCAGTTTTCTTCGCATTGTTTTCTACTAATAAACTGATGGCAAAATCTTACACATACAAATATTCATATCTTTACATAGAATACTAAGCTTCATAATTCTGATCTCTTGTCCTTTCCAGCTTGAGGGGGAAACTGGAGAAGACGAGGAAAGGGAATCACGACTCTTCCCAGGGAATGATCAGGCAGAGATGCACATCACCGACCATGCCCTTACAGCTGATTTCCTCATATATGCCTCAGATGTATGTTATTTTATTTTTGTCATTGGTCTCTTATCTTTAAGATAGTAGATTGAAGAGAATACATGGTTTTATATTGTGAATTATTTGTCATTCTATGAAAACAAATTATTCTTACAAAAAAATAGTTATCTTCATAAATTTGTACTATATTTCTTGTTTGCATTTATTCTCACATGTTCTATGTGTTTGACAACCTCAATTCTTTCGCAGAATGGAGGAATATATTTCTTCTTCATTGAGGATTGGCGCATAGTGAGCGACTATCGCCACACTTCAGGAATCAAGAACATATATGCTGAACCCTCCGGGCGGCGGCTTGTGTTAGTTGATGAGAAAGGGGAAGGATATATATACAATCCAGTAAGTATTATTATTATTATTATTTTTTATAGTGTCTACAGGGCATATTAAGGAAGATTTAGAAGTATATATATAACAACTAAATGGACCTATCAGTTAAATGATAATTATATAACGACACAATTAGCAGGACATTGATTTCATGTGCCTGTGTCATGGTAATAGCTAAATGATATTCTGATTCCAGGTGGCAGATGATCTCCTTGAGATTCCCGAGTTTCCGGGGTCCTGCAAAGGATGCCTGTGGGAGAACTATCCCAGCGACCGACATGTCTTCATTCTTTATGATGAAAAGCAACTGTACACATACATCCTTCATCAGGAACATATCAAAGGTACTGGTATCTTCTTCACTTATAAGGGTGCAAAATATAAGACTTTCTTGGCCTCAAAGAACTATATACACAAAATTTAGGGATTTCATCATCTGATAAACTTTTTTGTACATTTCTGAAATTGTATTTATTTATTTATTTTGATCAAATTTACTTTCCTGTGTGATAAGGTATTTGGCAACTTGAAGCTTACAGTGAAATGAAGTAAGACAGCATGAGCTTCTATACTCTATTCTCATTCACAGGTAATCATGTTGAATTGGTGGGCATGACTAAAATTCCACCAAGTCAAGTTCCCCTGTTACTCTATAATGGGGAGGTAAGCATCATAGCTTTTCGCCAAAAGGTTCCTCTTTTGAGAAAAAAAGTCTGAATAATGTTATGAAAAGGAGGAAATTCTACTTTATGATGCGAATATGAATGCATCTCAACAATAACACTGGTTACACTTCAATTTTCATCCTTTGGTGTGCAGGTGACTCTTCAAACTGCCTCTGGAAGGACAGCTCCTCTTATCCTCTCCTCTCATGAAATGGAAGCGAACATTCATGACTACTCCCATGAACAACTACGCACAGCACTCAAGAAGAATATTTCTCTCAGAAGGTAAGTGCAGGCTTGGTGTATGGGTTGTGTTATTCGCTCTTGTTCAGAAACACTTGGAATACGTGAGATGGAGAGCTGGATTGGCTTCTTGGTCTGTCAGTCAGTCACCGTTGGCTGGATTGGCTTCTTGGCTATGGTGCGAGACAGCTTGAGGTGATTGGCTGATGGGCGCACGATGTCTGTCTGGCTCTGTGTTTAAGATGTTCCAAGTGTCTTTGAATGTGAGTAATTGTTTGGTACACATTTGTTTTTAAGTTGGGAACTAGTTGTCAAATAACTGTAATGTTTTATTTATATGATGTTTAATATGTTTTGTCTTTTACACAATTAAATTACCAAGAAGTTTTAAGGCTCTTGTTCCTAATGTACACATGTTTATATTCTATATTCATTTAATTGTTTGACAAATTTGTAAGGTGCAGATGCAGATATACAGTTGTCAGATGATATGTCTTTATAAAATTTACTCATGTATGCAACAGATTCAAGGATGCAAGTGCCATCTGCCAAGTGTTGAATAATAAGGAAGACTGGGTGGTCCTAGGAAAGGCTTGCCTCTGGTGCATAAATCTGGATCTTGGTGAGTTTTTGGGTAGTTTGATAATGTTATTATTATTTTAGTAATTTTGGAAATTGCTATTTTATGCATGCTTGGAAAGTTTGTACCATTGAATGTGGTTAATGTTGTGCCAAATCCTAATCTGTACTTGATTCATTTTATGTTCAGAAAATTGCTCTTTGTGATTGCTTGGAAAATATGTAAATATATGGAAAATATTTGACAATGGTTGTGATGAATGTTATACTTAATTGTCCTTGGATCCTCTAGCAATACGAGTGTACCGACAGCTGGGTGATGTGGGAATGGTATGGTCATTGCAAAGCCTTATGGATATTGAAGATCCAAAGTTACTGAGTGGACATTTAGCAATGTATCTTGGTGACTTCAACACAGCTCAGGTAAATTGTAGTGTTTACTAGTTGCAGAAGTTCAATGCTGTAAATGTTGTGGATATCTGATCTATTGCTACCTTGCTAAAATATAATTGAAGAATCATGACATAATCATAGGTGGTTTATAGTTCATGTAATTACATGAATGTCCTTGTTAGGATTTTTTTTGTAATGGGAAAAGCTGAAATGAATTTTAAGACGTAAGTTTAGCTTTATTTGACTTAGAACAGAAATCAAGATTTATACTGTATTAGATTTCCCATTTACTGACTGATCTATAGATATGTAATGATTTTCATTCCCATGTTCATTGTGATCACTATACATGTAATCTTTATGAACTTCAAAGAAAGAACTAGATGGTTCCAAAATCTTACTTTACACCTGATTGTGCAGGAATTGTACCTGACCTCCAGCACTCCTGTAGCAGCTTTAGAGATGCGAAGAGACTTGCTTCACTGGGACCAGTCCCTTCATCTGGCCAAGAAATTGGCTCCGGACCAGATCCCTTACATCTCAAGGGAGTATGCGCAGCAGCTTGAGTTTACGTAAGTTTGTTTGAGCATTTGATATTATCTTGAGGAAGAGTGTTTACACTAAGGAGATAGTAAATTTCTAATTTTGTTTCCTTTGCTGGTTTTAATTTATTGCTGCACTTGATATTAAAGTCTAAGGTGCATCCTCTGTCAAAGTGTTTCATAAATAAGCTTATTCACTGTTATAATGGAATTTGTATTTGTTCATTATCATCTTTAGATTACCTATTTAAGTGTTGTATTGTAAAGGATGCTCATATTACAGAGGTGATTACCCAGGAGCTCTGACACACTATGAAAGGGGAGTTGTGAACACAGGTGGATCAGAGGAACACAATGCAGCATGTAAAGCTGGCATTGCACGAACAGCTCTTCGATGTGGTGACATTAGGCGTGGTGTCAATATTGCTGCTGAGATGAATTCCAGGATGCTGAAGAAGGAATGTGCTGAGATTCTTGAGAATAAAAAGGTTAGTAGTTAGTACAGAAATATAATCCCATAAAAATTTAATAATATTGTGTTTAATGATAATGAACTGAATGTTGATGTAGTATAGGAATACTTAATATGACCCAAGATTGTCAATACTGATCCATATCATAGTCTTCCATATTTGAGGTAAGATCAGGGGACTGAATATACTTCTTACTCTTATCAGCAATATGCAGAAGCAGCAGTATTGTATGAAAGCGGCAACTACCATGAGAAAGCAGCAAGTCTGTACATACGATTGAAGAACTGGACAAAAGTTGGGCAACTGCTTGTAAATATCAACTCACCAAAAATGCATCTACAGGTTAGTGAAATTTTGCTAAAATTTTTTGTTTGGTTAGAAATATGAATCAAAGGGAGTAATGAAATTTGAATGTCAAAACCTATATAATTTGCATCTCCACACACTCTAAAACTAATGATATAGAAATATTGATATGGAATTTACATATATCATAACAGACTTAAAGGAAGGAATTTTCATTAGTTAATGGCAGTTGACCTGTGTATCAAGTAATTTTTTTTTTTTATACATATGTAACATTCAAAAAGATTAGGAAGTGAAGTATTGGAATGAAAATAAGGGATAATTCTACAACAGAACAGTAATATAATATACTATTACTTACATGCACATAACTAGTATATTTTCACAAATTCAAGACAAGACTGCTGTGCTGTATGCCAGACAGTGGGTGGTCTGATAATTGTTGACTCACTCCTAAAGTTTGGAAAGAGGATTGGGATAAGATAAGGATAAGGATGGAGGAGTTATTTTAGGAGAAGAAAAAGGAACTCAGACTGAGTTGTCATGTAGAGATCGGGATAAGATTTGGAGCTGAATTTGGGATAAGTAGAATGACAGGGAGGAGAGCTTCAACATTGTCAGGAATGATTTGTATTTGTATTTGACATTTTTGAAATCTGGTTGTAGCAATAATTTCTCTTGATTCTTGGATTATTGGGGGTGGGGGTAAAGAGGAACTGGTTTGTAGCATACACCAATTTTCTGGATAGACTGCTTGGAATATGTTGTCGGTTGTTTATGCGGTCAAGTACCTTCATTTGCCTTTCTTTTAAAGTATGCCAAAGCCAAGGAAGCAGATGGCCAGTATAGAGAGGCAGCCACGTATTACGAGTCAGCAAGAGACTACGAGTCAGTCATCCGCCTCCTCCTGCACAACCTCAAGTCCCCAGAAGAAGCAGTGAGGATCGTTCGAGAGACCAAGAGCGTGGAAGGGGCCAAGATGGTGGCCAGGTAAGTTTTTGTAAAGGAATTTGTGATGAATATGTCATATTTTAAATACAGTAAGTTAAAAAGAAGTAAGCATTAGGCAGCTTAAAAAAAGAAAAGTACTCCAGGAAACATCTTTATTTTAATATCATGCTTTAATCTATGTACAATAGTTTAGAAAACAATCAAGTAGCATAAATGTGAATACTATAAGAGTATAGGATTAAGTGAGTGGAAAAAGCACCTCACTATTACTTCAGTAACAGCCTGTGGATTTTTTCTTTATTGCTTTTGGTAGGCTCCTAATACCTTGTAAGTTTTTTGAGTGCCTACTAAATGTTAGTAATATTGAATTTACAATTATACATAAAACAGGAAGCTCATTACTAGCATTAGGCATCTTGATGTTGCAGGAATGTCAAGAGATACATTAAGAATTTTCTGAGTCATCCAAAAGCAGAATGTCATAGTTTTCCTCTTTACTCTAATGGACTTATTGTTTCCTCAGATTCTTCCAAAAGCTGAATGACTACAGTTCAGCCATTCAATTCCTGGTGCTCTCCAAGTGCACAGATGAGGCATTTCAGCTGGCACGCACACACGGGAAGATGGAGCTGTATGCAGATATCCTGGGCTCAGATGCCACGCCAGAAGACTACAAGAGTGTGGCACTTCATTTCGATAATGAGCGCAACCACTTCTTGGCTGGGAAGTTTCACTATTTGTCTGGAAATTATCCAAAGGTATAGGGCATTAATACTTTTTTTTCTTCCCTAATACATGTAGATAATATGTGGTATGAGATGAAATGAAGTATTTTAGAACTTTGTTGATTGTAGGTGTATCTAAATATCAACTAATGCATATATATATTTCTTTACATCAAATTTCTCTGAAGCAATCGGTTTTGGTTACATTCATCATAGATTCATATTCATTTTTAATTAATAATTCCTGAACTGTTAAGAGTTGAGTCATTTATCAAAACAAATATTCCAACAGGCAGTGAAACATCTGATTAGGGCAGCTCAGAGTTCAGGAAGCGAGGACACAGAAAGCATTCAGCTCGCCATTGATGTGATTGCGGCAGCGAATGACGATGGCTTGACACGACAACTGATTGACTTTTTGATGGGAGAGATTGATGGGATCCCAAAAGTAAGTACGTGTATACTTACATGAGAAAGATTTTTTTTTTCTTCTTTTTTTTTTTTCTTCTTTTTTTTTAATTTGTGAATAGGTATGTATAGTACTGATTGAAAATTAATAGGTTGGTTATTAGAATTTGAAGTAGAATTGAATTATTCCTGGTAAGTTCCTTGCGCATCAAACAGTTATCTTTTCCTCATAAATCATGTGCTGAGAATTATTTTACTTATATGGGACGTTTTCAAATATCAGGATTTTGTTAAAATAGGAAAAAAAAAAACAGGGTCTTCAGAGCAGATGCATATGTTTTTCCAGGATGCCAAGTTCCTTTTCCGACTGTATATGGCCAAAAAGCAGTACAAAGAAGCAGCCAAAACTGCTATTATCATTGCAAGAGAGGAACAGAATTCAGGTATCTTGGACCAACTTTGTATGATTTTTATTGATCATATTTTGTTTGCCTTTATAATAAACCTGTCTATAGGAGCTCAAGGAGTATTATAGGGATATAGGGGAGGGAAAGTCCTATAATATTACTTCAGTATATTTCCTACATTGTTTTCAATGATGATGTGGAGACTGTTTGGTATTGTGGTATTGCTGAGATAGTCAGATACTACATTTTCTGTGAAATATTCCCACCTAATCATTATCAAAACAGTTAAAGTAGAATGTTTGTGATAGACTCTTTCAACCTCTGAAATATCAGGCATCATAGAAAGTGACAATAAAGATCATGAAAAAATTAACATTTCAGGCAATTACCGCCATGCTCATGATGTGCTCTTCGGGATGTATGGAGAACTTAGGCGACAGAAATTGAAGATTCCTGCTGACATGAGGTCAGCTCTGTTACTGCTGCATTCCTATACCTTAGCACGGCTTCATGTTCGTCGGGGAGACCATCTTAAAGCAGCCAGGATGCTCATTAGGGTGGCCAACCACATTTCTAAATTCCCTGCACGTGAGTTTAATTATATTGATTTGATTTCTTCTTTATTTACTTTTTTTCTTTATAGCTTTAAGATGATGTTCATAAATGCTGTTCATGTCTCTTTTTTCTAAAATGTTTGGGTAATTTCTGTAAGAAACAAGGAAGATTATTATAATTTTTATTCTTTCTGTCTTTTCTTTTCTAGACATGGTCCCTATTTTGACATCTACTGTCATTGAATGCCAGAGATCAGGTCTGAAAAATTCCTCATTCAACTTTGCTGCCATGCTGATGCGACCTGAAACACGAGGGCAGATTGATGAGAAGTACAAGAAGAAGATTGAGGCCATTGTGCGCAAACCTCAGCGTTCAGAGGAAGATGAGCCCAGTTCCCCATGCCCGTACTGCTCAAGCCCAGTGGAAGAGACAGTACTGGAGTGTGGGCAGTGTCAGAATACACTGCCATACTGCATTGCCACGGTAAAGAAGGGTTCCTGATTCAAAGGAGTATAGGCTATGTGTTTTGTGAATGCTGAGGAGATATGGTGGAAAATTTAGATTTTCTCGTCTTGGAAGTTGTTGAAATTCATTTACTAATTAATTTGTTTTTGTTGTGACAGGGACGGCACGTTCTATCGGATGACATCACATTCTGCCCGAATTGCAAGTTCCCAGCCATCAGGACTGAACTCTTGAAGTAAGTTTTCCATTTTTTTTTTTATTATATTAAAGACATCTATATTCATTATTGCAAAAGTGTACAGGATGTCAGTGCTATTATCTTCTCGGCATTAATTCGCATATGGTTATTTTACTTCAATTAAATCAGTTTGTATCCTTATCAATTATCACCATTATCAGGCATCATCATCCATCATCGTCATAATCAATATTCATCATCGTTATCAGGCATCATCATCCATCATCGTCTTCATCATCGTCATCAATCGTTATTGTCATCAATCGTTATTGTCTTCAATCATCATCATCATCACATCATCAAATCACTCAATCATCATCATGATGTATAAATCCTTGCCATTGTTCCCACTCTGTGCCATTCTATTATTTTTGAGGTAAAATTGCCAGTTTTGAAGTATGGGTCTCCTTCTCTATGAGAATGAAAATTATTCCATTATCAGAAAATGACTTTAGAACCCTTTTTGCAATAATGCCTTTCATGGTGATCCCAAATTCTCAGATATATTCACCATCTCAGTGAAAATTTTATGTTGTGGTCCTCTTTATTTAGCCTTCCATCCTTAGAGTGTCAGCCATCTTACTGGTTCTCCCATGTTCAAGCAAGGCATATGTAAATGGTGATATTTTCATGCCTTTCCCATGTCCAATCAGGCCTGGAATTTCCTTCTCTTTCCATACATCTAGCAGGTGATTGGTCTCTGTCCTTGTGCCCTTTTCTTATTCTTCTTTCCTCTCTCATTTCTCTTTTAAAGAATTCCTTTACCTCCGTGAGCATTGCATGTGGTTCTGAATCTCCTCCACCCCCAGCAAAGGGCCTGTTTAAATACTGATTGTAGCTATCTCTAATAGGTGTTCTGTGTCCAGTTATCATCAACAATTGTAACCCAGTGTGATTGCCACTAATGAAGACAGTTGTTTTGTGTAACAAATATAGTACATGTCAGTGTCAAGTGTTCTTTAACTATTCACTGTTTGCTCTGAGAGTAATGACTGTATTTGTCATCTGATAAGGCAAGCTCTTTTTTATTGCTGCTATAGAAGTTATCAGAAATTGAGCAACAGGTTATACGTGGGTATAAAAAGACTTTGTTATCTTTACTGGTAGATTAAAGTAATGCCAGCTGAGATGAAAGATATGGAAATATTTTTTAAAAGGAGTAAACTTTGCTGCAGATATTTATTATTATTTGTTCATAGTTTATTGTAAAATCCAAGGTTATTCTTTTATTCCATGAAATGTACCCTTTTGTCTTTTACCATAGAATTTATCAAATGTGGATTTATACCTGTAAGCTTTGAGAGTGACATGTAATGTTCATATTCATAGGTTTTACTGGCTCTTCTCTCAAATGAATATGTATTAGACAAACTGGTTTATAAGGATTAATTTTGTTACTTAAGTCTGACATATCAGCATTATGGAATGTTACTACTATTACCACTACTACTGCCATTACTGCTACCACTACAACTACTACTACTACTACTACTACGACTACAACTAACAGTTACTAACCAGTATTACCACTACCACTACAACTACTACTACTACTAACTACTACTGCTAATAACACTAACACTACCACTACCACTACTTTTTCTATTACCATTACCACTCCAACTATTACTGCTTTTACCACTACCACAACTACTGCTATTACCACTACCACAACTACTGCTATTACCACTACCACTGCATCTACAGTTACTACCAGTATTACCACTACCACTACAACTATTAGTACTATTACCACTACAACTACAATTACCACTATAACTATTACTGATACTACTAATACCACTACCACCACCACAGCTACTACTACCACCACCACAACTACTACTACCACTGCTACTACCACTACAACTACCACTACTTTCACTTCCACAACCACTTGTACTCTCAGCATGTGTGGAATAATATCAGAACAGGAAAAGTTTCCTTAAAACAAATTTATCATGTCCTGGAATTTATGGTAGTAAATAACACAGAGCAATAATAATAATTTCTAATGGTCCTTTTACAGAATGGCAGAGGATGGGGAGGAGTGTCCTATGTGTAGTGCAGCGTTAGAATCGGATAAACTCGAAATGGCTAGCAACTGGAAGTCTATTGTTGATGCAGAAAGTGAAGATTAAATTGTATTTGATACTTGCATACAGATGACATATACATATATAATATATGTATGTATGCGCACACATGCATGCACACACACACAAAATATATATATGTTAACAGAATATATGTAAATTTGAGCATGTGGATGATTTATATGATAATATGAAACAGGAGGCACAGTAAATATTAGTTGATTTCCGTCCAGGATTTTAATACATTTATTTGATCTGTAAAAATGTGATAGAGTATTTTAACACTTTCCCTACACTGATTAAAATGTTTTTGTATCTTTTTATCAATTATACATATATGAAATAACAAATTACCAGTTATATTTTACTAATTTTGAATTAGCAGTATTGATATGTAAGAAACATTGTAAGTGTTACCATATAATCTGAAATAATTTACTGCACAAGAGTCATGACAAAAGGCATAGGGTTTGGTCATAATTTCTTTGTTGCAGACATAAATTGTGATACACATTACTGGAAGCACACTATCACAGGAAGCAAGTGATAATATCATTATGATAATGTTTGTATATCAACTATAACATGTAATGCACATTCCTAAAAACACATGATTGACTGAATATCATGGACATATAATGTTATAAGATAATGCTTAATACATGCAATTTACTATATTAATTTTAGTCTTACGTGCACTTTTAATTTGAAGTAGAGATTATTATTTTAAATTGTCTTTTATAGACTTTTTTGATGAAAAAATTATACCATTGATTGTCCTTGAGTTTGTCGTTCTTATTTATATATTTATTTATTCATTTATTTATCATTAAACAGCAAAACTTTTGTATTATGCAGGGTGCTGTTCATGTTATAAAATCAAATACATAACATATGTATTAACTACAATAGACAAGAGTCTTACATCGGTACACTGGTTTCTGTGAGCTCATTTTCATCAAGTAATCTCGCAAGGTGTCTGAATTCCATATTATGGGATGAAAATATGTTACTTCTAAACACATGTGATAATGCATGCTAGTCATAACCGTTATATAATGTGCTAGTCATAACACAGCCATAATAGAGACAATATTTAATACATAGAAGTAAAAGTTGTAATATTTTAAAATGACTTTTTTTTTATTATTAGAAGCACAAGTACTTCGTGGATATCAAAGAATGTGATATTTATTGGTATAAAGCACAGCATTATGTGATACTGATTATAATTTCACATATAAAGCACTATAAGGAGTATTCGTCCTGGAGTCAAATAAACTATTACCACAATTCCTTTTTTTTGTTTTGTTTACCCTTTATTTTGTATAAGGGAAAATGAGGGAGAATGAGATAAAAGAAAGGTGAGAGGGAGAAGGGAAAGGGAGAATGAGGAGGAGGAAGGTGAGGAGGAGAAAAGGAAAGGAAAGGGAGAATGAGATAAAAAGGTGAGAGGGAGAAGGGAAAGGGAGAATGAGGAGGAGAAGAGGGAAAGGGAGAATGAGATAAAAGGAAGGTGAGAGGGAGAAGGGAAAGGGAGAATGAGATAAAAGGAAGGTGAGTAGGAGAAGGAGGAGAAAGAGAAGAGGAGAGAAGAAGGAGGAGAAAGAGAAGGAGAGAGTAGAGAAGGAGAAAGAGAAGAAGGGAGAGAAAAGAGAAGAGGAGAGAAGAAGGAGGAGAAAGAGAAGAGGAAGAGAAGAAGGAAGAAGAAAGAGAAGAGGAGAGAAGGAGGAGGAGAAAGAGAAGAGAGAGAAGGAGGAGGAGAAGAGAGAAGAGGAGAAGAGAAGAGGAGAAAAGAGAGAAGAAAGGAGGAGAAAGGGAAGAAGGAGAGAAGAAGGAGGAGAAAGAGAAAGAGGAGAGAGAAGGAGGAGAAAGAGAAAGAGAGGAGGAGGAGAGAAGAGAGAAGGAAGGAGAAAGAGAGAGGAGAAGAGAGAGAGAGAGAAGAGAGAAGAGGAGAGAAGAGGAGAGAAGAGGAGAAGAAGGAGGAGAAAGAGAAGAGGAGAGAAGAGAAGGAGAAAGAGAAGAGGAGAGAGAAGGAGGAGAAAGAGAAGAGAAGAGAAGAGAAGAGAAGGGAAGAGGAGGATACAGGAGGGGAAGAGAAGATATGAAGAAAGAGGAGGGAAGAATGGAGGAGATGGGATGGGAAAGGAAGAATGCAAGGATGAAGGAGAGGAAAGCAGGAGTGAAGGCAGGGAGGAGGAGAGAATGATAAGATAAGGAGAGAAAAGAGGAAGGAGGAGAGGATTAAAGGAGGGGGCAGTAAAGAAGGGAGGAAGGAGGAGAGAAGGAGAGACGGGTGGAAAGGAGGAGAGGAAGGAGGGAGAAGAAGGAGGGAGGAGGAAAGAAAGAGGAGAAGAAAGGAAGGAAGGAAAGGGAAGAGAAAGACAGAAAAGAAGGAAGGAGAAAAGGAGGAGGAGGCAGACGGGAGAGGGAAAATGCAAGGATGGGGGAGAGGAAAGCAGAAGCGAAGGCAGGGAGAAGGAAAGAATAATAAAACAAGGAGAGAAGAGAGGGGAGAAAGAAAGAGGAGAGGATTAAAGGAGGGGGTAGTAAAGTAGGGAGGAAGGAGGGGAGAAGGAGAAGAGGATGGAAGAAGGAGAGAAGGAGAAAAGAGTGGAAGGATGGAGAAGCTAAGAAGGAGGGATGGAGATGCAAAGAAGGAGGGAGAAGGAAGGAAGGGATGGAAAAGAAGAGAAACTGTGAAGCAAAGAGGAACACTCCCTTGCCAGAAGAATTTTGCAAGTCACTGTGATAAGTCGTAATATCTTTTCTTCCTTCCCAATGCAATAATTCCCAATATAATATTACGCTTAGTATATGAGGTATTTTTTCATATTTCTATTCAATAACTGGAGTATCATGTAAAGTAAGGGAATCTAGAATCATGATTTCTGTTTCGTAACAAACATTGTTAATAATTAGGATAATAGCACATTCTCTTTCCCTCCCTCCCTCTCCCTCTCTCCCTTTCTCTTTCTCATCCATCTTTCTTTCCTTCTTTCTTCCTTTCTTCCCTTCTTCCTTTTCTCATAACAATAACGATAATAAAGGTTAGTGATAACAGTAACAGTAACTTAATATTATTACAAATAATAATAGCTAATAATAATAATAATAATAATAATAATAATAATAATGATAATAATGGTGATGATGATGACAATAATAATAATGATAATGATGCCAATAATTATTATTATCCTCCTCATCATAATACTAATATCAATTACAACAATAATAACAATGAAAATGAATATAATAATAATAATGACAACACCAATAATAATAATCACAATAGCAATAATGACAAAAATTAAAACAACAACAATAATAATAATAATAATACTGATGATGAATATATATAATAAATAATAAATAAATAATAATATAATAATAAAAAAAATAAAATCAACAACAACAACAACAATAATAATAAAATAACAATAAAATGATAATGATTTTGGTTATTACTATCATCCTTATCATTATCACTATCATTATCATTATTCTTATAAAGATAATACTTCATAATAATAATAATAGTAACAGTAATATAATAATAACAACGACAATAATAACAAATGAAAATGATAACGATGATAATAGTAACAATAATATGGATAATGATAACGATAATGATTAATAATAATAATATCAATATCAATAGCAATAATGCCAATGTAAACATAAGGAACACGTAACTGAGTATGACTTTATTTACATACTGGCACTTTGTAACTATCTGATCACATACATACGCTTTCGTGTGTGTGTGTGCGTGTTGCGTGCGTGTGCGTGTGCGTGCGTGTGCGTGCGTGTGTGTGTGTGTGTGTGTGTGTGTGTGTGTGTGTGTGTGTGTGTGTGTGTGTGTGTGTGTGTGTGTGTGTGTGTGCGTGAGTGAGTGAGTGAGTGAGTGAGTGAGTGAGTGAGTGAGTGAGTGAGTGAGTGAGTGAGTGAGTGAGTGAGTGAGTGAGCGAGCGAGCGAGTGAGTGAGTGCGTGCGTGCGTGCGTGCGGATGCGTATGCGTATGCGGATGCGTGTGCGTGCGACCAACAGAGACAGAAACTGCATATCACAAGCGAACTCTCTCCCTGTCGCCGATTCCCTTTGATGAGGCAGACAAATCCTCTGCTACATTTTCTTCGCTGCCATAATGTCCATTTTCATTTTCTTCATTTGGCAATCAAAGACTTTTATATTGGACTTGTGTATGCAGTGCTGGCAGTAGGCCCTTATCCACGCATATGCAGGTCCCTCGAACAGACTCCCGGTAAAATCCAAGTCAATGTCGTTTTCATAAGCACACTCGTGTATTCGCAAGTGTCCGCAGAATAATATATACAAGCCAATTTCCAAGTAATTGTTATATGCACAACAGGAAAAGAAGTAGAAGAAGAAATACAACATGCACAGGACGATATGTGCTAACTGTTTGGGCAAAAACTGTTCTAATGACGATATGATTTTGTTTAAAAACGAATTCCCGTCGTCTTTCATGTGGTGCCCCTTCCTTTTCAAGGCACTTGTTCCATACATGAATTCTTCCCATATATTTACTCGCAGGACATTTGACGGTAGCGATGGTTTAGACTCCGGCAGGCTCTCCCGAGGGACGCGGAAGGGCGGCCGAAAGCGCACTTGGCCCCACTCCTCCTGCCACTGCCGGGGCTCCCTCGGGAAGGCCGCCTGCCACACGGGGGCGCCGCCCCTCATCTCCACACGCATCTGCTGCTGAGGCTGCAGCACAGGCACGGGTCCCCTGCTGTAGCTCATGCTGCCCTTCCTCAGCCGCAGTCCTCCCTGCTGAGCCAAGGCGTCCCGAATCCTGAAGCCGCTGAACTGCTGGTGCTGCTTGAGCAGAGAGTAGTGGCCGGGCTGGTCCCTCCCCCGGGGCACGCCCGGCCGGAGGCGGAGGCGCCGGGGGGGCTCCTCGGGCGCCCTCCTGAGGGCCACCACCTTGTCCCCGAGGATCTCCCCGCTCTCGCCGTCCCTGGAGGGCAGCGAGGGGAACGAGGAGCCCAGAGGAGGCGCCGGGAAGCCCTCCTCGTCCGGCTGCATCTTGAAGTGTTACCACTGACGGTTCACACCTCGAGACGCTGCGCGCGGCGCGCTAGTGCTCTGAAACAAGAAAAAAAGTGCCTGTTGTAATTTTGCTCTGTCGAGGGATTAGAAATCTTTGTGCCATTTATTTATTTTCTAACAGGCGAAGTTAACTTTTTCACGCGTTCTTACACCTCAGTGCACAAAAAAAAAAAAACTACTTTACATTGGTCACGTCCTTGAAAAGGCTTCGAAATTTCTCGCATGT